TGTGCATTTGGCACACATTAGGAGCTCAATAAGTGTTGAATATTTGATTGAACAGTCAAAGGATACTTCCCATTACTTTATCTCATTTCAGGAAAAGTGGAGTGTTGTGAAAGTATGCATTATGTACATGAGACATATGTTCTGGTTAGAATTCTGGTCCTTGTAAAGAAGATAATTTTGGTTTTATTTATAGTTCTGAAATTGACCAATGATGTTTTTTAAAATCTAGAGATTTTTATCAGTATGATTTTTCCCATCAAATAATGATTACCACATCTTCATCACTTAGTTCACTGTAATTTAACTGTATCAATATTCTCTCTAACACCAAAAACCCATTGCTTTCAAATCAATTTTGACTCATAGCAAAACTATAGGACAAAGTAGAAGTGCCCCATAGGGTTTCCAAGGTGCGGCTGGTGGATTTGAACTGATGATCTTTTGTTTAGCAGCTGTAGCTCTTAACCACTGTGCCACTAGGGCTCCAGTATTCTCTCTAGAGTGGAATAAATAATTTAAAATACTTCATTACTAAAGTAAGAAAAATGACCTAATTACAACATTTAGAACCTGTATAAGGCTCCATTGTGGCAAGTACTCAGAGGACAGCACTCTAATAGGACTCCAACACACTTTGAGATATTGACATGATTAATAAACAGATTATAAAGATTGCCTCTGGAATGTGTAAACTGTGTAAAGTAATTTGCCCTTTTTTCCTATCCCGCAAAATTCCAAAGCACAATAGTGAAAGAGTCCTTAAACTCTTAGTGCCAAGGCTTCCCCTTATTAATTAACAATTCTCATTATTAAATTAATCTTTCCTTCTCCTATACTGCCAAGGTACATTGTACTTCTAGTAGAAGATTTATGAGTCTGTCTTACATTGAAAATATTCATTTATGTATCTGTTTCCTGCACTAGGCTGTGAGCTCCTAGAAGGTAGATACGGTGACATATTCATCTATATTTCCCTTGTACGTAGCACATTACTTACTTTGTACTAATAGACAGTCAGATATAGTTATTGAAATAAATTTGGTAGACTATTTGCATATCTACAATGCTTTGCAATCCACATATCCAAATTTTATTTGATGTCACTTGGGCTAACCTTAGCCTTCCCCAAATATCATGATACTCTCACTGTTAACTCTTCCTTCTTAAAAATATAGAAACAGAATGTTATGGAGAATTAATTCATACAGATATACCTTATATTAATAAATTCTTGGTTCCTTTGTGCTCACTGTCTAAGGCCCTACTTATCTTTCAACAGGCAGTACTCTAACTTCAGTAGATTTTATGGCTTTAAAGAGTTTCCTAGTATCTCTTACATTAGACTAAACCATAGAGAAGACGTGTTGGTTGAGATCAAGACTGCAGCCCCTTCTTAGCTCAAGAGATTCATGAGCGAAATGGGCAGTTCCTATCCAGAGGAGAGATGAGAAGGCAGAGAGAGTACGGAGCTGGTTGAATGGACATGGGAAACCAGGGGTGGAAAGGAGGAGTGTGCTGTCATAATATAGGGAGAGCAACTAGGGTCACATAACAATGTATGTATAAATTTTTGTATGAGACCAAAAAAAATAGCAATAAAATGATGACTCAAAGAAAAAAAAAGAAAGACTGCAGCGCTTGCAATCAGACAGCCTGATTTTAGATCTCAATTCTAACACTTACTCAATGAGGGACTTTAGGCAAGATACTCAACCAATCAAGGCTTTAGTTTCTTTATTTATCAAATGGGGATAATAATAGTATATGCTCGATAGGTTATTTTGAGAAATAAATGAGATAAACCATGGGGATTACTTGGCAAATCAGCAGTGTCTGGTATATACTAAGTACCTAATGAATGTTAAAAAAAAAAAAAAAAATCTTTAAGACCTCATTACAGTGCTTCGAATGAAGTAGGCACTCATTCAATATCTGTTGAATCAAAGTGTATGAGTCCTGTTTTCTTCCATATTAGACAACAGAAAGACTGTGGTCACTGACTACTGCATTATGAAATTATCCTGTGTTGTTTAAAATCTGGGTGAACTGGAACCCCAAGTAGAGAGTACTAAAGGTGTTGTTCCATCGTTTTTGAAAAGAGTAACTCATTGTTTTTCTAAAAAACAAACTGATACCAGCAAACACATAAAGTTTGTTGACTTATCTTCTCCTCTGAATCTTTTTCTAAGCCTCTGTGGTCCTGAACTGAAGTTCTGTCTCTAAAAGGTCATTTGTGAAAGAGTCATAGCAAGCTATTATGACTGGTCTACAGGTTTATTAAAAACAAACAAAGATAAGTCAAAACAAAAGCAACAGCAACAAACACCACCACCAATGACAACAAGAGTAAAATTACAAGCTTCAAACCTTGCTGACCTATACCAGTATAGATACCAGGCTATAGAATTGGTTGAGTATTGGATTGATCTACTAGATTACGCCACAAACTGATACATTCAAATAAATATTTGTTAAAATAAAATTGGTTTAGACTTGCAAGATACTACATACAAATCAGAACAAAGTAGAATACCTTGACACTTTGTATACTGACCTGAATACACAAAGTTTTCCTGATTAGAGAAACAGAGGAAGTCACAATTTAGCTCGCAACACCAGTGAATGTCAAGATATGATCATAAGAACTCAGTCTGCGTTTAAATTACAAAGCTAAAGAAATTTATCCACCATTTTTCTTCCAAACATGTGCCATTTTATGTGCTACCTCTGATTCTTCTATAATTATTTGTACTGATTAATTTGTGAGGCCTTTTTTTAGGAATAATTTTCTACTAATCTATATGTCTCTTGTACTGAAGTCAGTATTTTCAATAGCTGAGGAGATATTTCCATGACAATATAATGTTACTATATCACTGAGGTGCTGTTGGCCTTCCTCCAAATGACCAACTACAAGATTCAGGGATGTAAAACTTTGACACAAATGTTATCTCTAGGAGTAATCTTGACAGGGAATAGTTTTGAATAGTGTATTGTCACTTTAGAAAAATGGTTTAGTACACTAAAATTAGGTAAAAGAAACAGTAGCAACTCTGAATTCGTTGTGCAACTTTCTGTTATAACTTAATGTGATTTCTTTTCTGATACTTCTAGTAACATTTGTCCGCAAGACAGCATGCGATATAAGTTAATTTGTTTTATTTATTTCTATTAACACTTTTATGTAGTTCTATTTACTTCACTGCTACTTAGTTTTTCTATTTCTTACGGTCTCAGTGAGGAATAAAGAATTATAAAAAAATAATTTGAAATCTAAACACATTATGATCCATTTTCTTGTTCCACAGAATATTTCATAGGTGATAAACCCATTGCTGTTGAGTCAATTCCAACTCATAGCCAACCTATAGGACACAGTAGAACTGCCCTACAGGGTTCCCAAGGAGTGGCTGGTGGATTCAAATTGCCAACCTTTTGGTTAGCCACCAATCTCTTGACCACTGCGCCACCAGGGCATAGTTCTGCATAAATTGATACACATTATTGAAATGGAGATACATCTATTCCTCTGCTAGTGAGAGTATCAGAGATGAGTTCAGCAGGGATCATACTAGAGTGAATGGACAACTTTTTTTAATCCGTCTTGAATTAGGTCTTCATTATTTCATTTAAAGTAAATCCCAAAAATACTGAGTATCATGATAAAACATTCTAGTGATGAAAACAATTCAAAATGGAATGCAATGGTTATCTAGTTTTTCTCTCCACTCAGGTATATAAGCAAGTAGTTTATGTTGTTTCAATTTTAGAAGTTTCAAAACTATTGGTAGTAACATATTCTGAAGGGGTTTTTCTAAGGATCTAATAACATGGAGATGTATGATGCTACACGTACTATTTGTTGTCACTTAAAAAGAAATCTATAAACTATGCCTATAGTCAAAAACAAAATGTTATCTTCTGTTCAGATTATTAGAAAGAACAATTTATGTATAAAGTATATTCATTTCTTCCACATAGACTTGAAAGTACTGAATGGCCACGAGTAAAATAACAAAATCAGTTCCCTTGACAGAGTATGACAAACAATGAAGGTATTGCCAATGAACTAGGTTTCACAGACTATTTATTTAAGTCCTCCTGGGCATTTATACATGAGTTCAGCAGGGTTCATATTACAGTGAATGAACAATTAATTTATACATTTGAAATTTAGTAATTTCAGGGTGTTTGTAAGCACAAATCCTTGCCTAATGCTAAATACCAAATGTTTGGTTAAGTGGGAGTTTTCATCTGATATATCATAATTTTATAAGTAACATGATTTTTTAATAGATTGTATTCCAATTGAAGAGAGGTTTTTAATAAAAATCAACTTGATCATACAGTTCAGATTCCCTGATGCTATATTAAGAATCAAATATGCATTCCAACCTAAGGTGTCATATAGACAAAAGGACCAAATCATAGAGAAAAAAACCAATACTCCTCTATATATCAAAAGCTGCCAACACCAGCCTACATATTGAAATAAGCTAATCTTTATTAAAACACTAATGCTTTGTATATAAACACTTACTACAGGAGCAGACGTCACTGAGGAAAATACTATATTTTATAGCACTTAAGTAAATAATGCTATGATACAGATTAACACAAACATCTATAGTCACCACAGTATCTAATTCTGTTAGAATTAGATTGTCTGAGGGCTAACAATGATTTTACCCTCTAAATAAAAGGCACAGAGATTCTTTTACCTTAGTTGGTCTAGCGTTAGACTGCTGTAGTCAATAACTATCAAGAAAAAATTAAAAATACTATATACAACACCAAGACTGGGGTGTAATGCGGCATCCCATAATCAAACACATTAACATTTCCACAATAAATCAAAAATCACTATGTCAGTCAGGATACACTTAGTCTATAGATAGACTCAGATGAGTCTGAGGCATGGTTTGCTGCAAGTGAGCCTGGGCTCATAAACTCACAGGTAAGGAGCAATAGCACTCTAAGGACATAGAAAAGACTCTTACCTTGGCACATAAAACCTCTTTCTTCATAGCCGGCATTGCATGAGCATTTGCCAATGGGTACAAGCCATTCACCTTCTGTACTGCAGTACATCCTGGGAGGATCTTCCTCCTTAGAATTGTTAACACAAGAGCCTCTAACTTCCACCAGGGACTGTGAGTCCATAGGTACTGTGTCTGGAAACATAGCCAGATTCTTCACAGTAAAAGGGCACTTTTTGAAGTACACTCTCACAGACACCAAGGCAACACAAGCACCAACATCATGAAAAGCCAGATAAAATCCCTTTTTGTTGACAGGACCTACTTCTCGAACCTCGGTGTTGAGTTTAAGAATGCGGTCCCCAAGATCCATTTGAGTGAAACTTTCATCAGCTGCAATGGTGTCAATCTTTGTAAACTGATGCTCTCGGAATTTGACCCCATGATCATCATCAGACTCCATGTAATATAGGTTAAAAGTCTCCTTGCAAGTTCCCAAGACCAATGGAATGCTATTGCAGTCCCTTAGAGTGAACTTGAGCTCCACATAGATCTTCTGAGCTGAGTTCCTGGGGACCCAGTTGGTCCTTAGCCAATTATTTTGACTATGATCCATGACATTGCACACCTGGTAAGTCCGGATGGGTGTGTAATGCTCATCAACACCACTGATCTCTTCCCACTGAAGAATCAAAGGAAAAAGAAGAGAGGCAGAATTAATGAGTTAATCACAATAAATACTAGATGAGAATGTCCAAGGCATCACAGAAATTATAAAACAATAGATAAAATAAGCAGAAACTTCAATGTTAGTCATCCAAAATGATGTGGAGTAACTCCACATCATTCTTATCATAGTTTTTTTTTTTAAATTATTTGCAAGATTTTCTGTGTTCAGTGACACAAAGTAATCCATACTTTTGATGAACATCTTTGGATTGCATTATAGTTTGCATGTTCAGAGAAAAATGACTTGACAATTGAGCAATTCCAGAATTCAAACTTCAAATCAGTCCTCTCCAATGACACTATGAAGTAGTTTTGTTTATGTTTTTTTTTGGATTGTTTTTTGTTTTGGTTTGTTTCCTTATTTTAAAAGAGAATGAAAAAATACCACTGCCTAAAATTCATCTTTAGTATCTTTTCCCAGTTTGGGTCAGGTTTTGGTAAAATCTGGTATATGGCAAAACAATTGGAATCTAAACGATTTCTCTACCATTATAGTTATGCATTTTTTTTTTTTAAACTTAACATACTTGGCCATTTCAATGACTATGTATTGGGGAATATACCATGGACTGCTGGAAGAACGAATAAATCTGTCTTGGAAGAAGTACAGCTAGAATGTTCCTTAGAAGCAACACCTCATCTCACATACTTTGGACATGTATTGAGGAAGGACCAGTCCCTGGAGAAGGACATCATGCTTGGTGAAGTAAAGGGTCAGTGAAAAACAGGAAGAACCTTGATGAGATGGACTGACACAGTGGCTGCAACAATAGCCACAAGCCTAGCCAGGATTGTGAGAATGACGCAGGACTGGGCAGTGTTTCGTTCTGTTATACGTAGTGTCACTATGAGTTGGAACCAACTGGATGGCACCTAACAGCATAACAACAATATGAAAAAAAAAATTGAAGTAAAAATTTAAAAACACCTCCTCTCCCCTCTAAAAAACTATAAACCTAAGAGTTATGCATGAAAAACAGAAGACATAGTGTAGTGAACTGCCAAATTCTCAACGTCTCTTACCCATGTTGGACTTTTACATGAGCAAGAAATCAATTGCTACTGTTTTGTTTTTTAGTTTTCTTATAGCAGGTTATCCTAATACAGGTTTCCTCACTGTAAAATCACACACACAAAAAAAAAAAATTCTTAAGGCTTTTAGAATAGTGAAGTACTGCTTTCTTTTGTTTCTCAGATTTTGAAAAGCTTTGAACTTAGTTAGCACCAGATTGTTGGTGTTACTTTGGACCCTACAATGATTATACCAGCTGTTTATAACTGTTCTCCCTGTGTGTATAGGTTCTTTTTACCATGCCCCATTCTGCTGATTGCTTCCAGGTAAATATGTTTTTTGCCATGACTTTCTTGAAGTCAGAGTTCTCCACTATCTCTGGCTTCCCAGCACCCATGCAATCATTTTCAAACTCTTTAGTTTGCCATTCATGTTTCTCCAAATACTGGGCCCAACCTACATTTTTTATTTTTTTAAAAGTTTGACATCAAGATGAGTGAATCATATGTCTCACTTCTATACGTATTATGTTCTTATTAAGGTGAATTCTTTATTGTCTTCCAAAGACTTGTTGAATCTATTGCCCTTTATTCCCTTGGTTATGGTATAATCATATCTGGACTGTGCTGTTTTTCTCCTCCATACCTTCCATAACCCTGCCATTCATAAGAAACTTTCTGCTTTATATATACCTTTATAAATGCCCTATCCATTCGTAAATTTATTTCACGGTAGATGTTAAGTTTAGTTTAGATTTTTTTAGTTTTGTTTCATATGCATCTGCAAAATTTTATACCTTTCATGAAACCAAAACAAACAAATAAAACTCATTGCCATGGAGTCAATTCCAACTCATAGCAACCCTACAGGACAAAGCAGAACTGCCCCATAGGGTTTCCAAAGAGCGGCTGGTGGATTCAAACTGCCGACCTTTGGGTTAGCAGCCAAGCTCTTAACCGTGGTGCCACCAGGGCTCCGTACCTCTCATATCTCCCATAATTTGCAGCACAAAACTTTAAATTTTAAAGTTGTGCATTAAAATTATTGTTTACCATATTATAGGGAGGAATCATTCATGGGAGTCAAATTTTTTTTAAAGTTTTTATTAGAGATACATTTTAATTCTGTGAATAAAAATATAAAATACTTGTAAAATCTACAAGAAATATGTTCCTAAATATTTCTCTATTAAAAGAGTTCATTATTTTCACCAGGAACTGTAGATTTTAAGTACTTTTCAGCTAAATTAACAATATTTACCATGTACCAATATATATTTTTATTTTTATTTATGAATGGCACATGGGAATTCTAATTTACAGCATCTCATCACCAAGTGAGATAAAATGTTAATTTATTACACTGAGGGTAACCACAAGCAAAGAAACATGACATTCACTTGGCCTTTAAGCCTCATTAGAGACAAATAAATTATTCACATTAGGGTGTTTGAATTATCAAAAACAATCTGTGGACTCCAACCAGTGTGAGAAACAGAGTTTAAAATTTTACTTCTAAAATCTTTCTAGCTCTTCTACATATGGAAAGAACAAAACAAGCAAAAAATGCTACCTATTTTAACTGTCTAAGGTATTCAACAATTTTGGTCATTCAGAATCTAGAATATAAAATTGGTACTCATTTTCTAGAGGCAGAATTGGCTTGATCTCATCATCACAGTCAACGTCCAAAAAGGGAACACACCGTGACTCTTTTAGAAAACCCTAGAGCTAATAGACAAGATATGTTTCTATTCTAATATAAAGAAAGTGACAACATTCACTTGTACTTTTAATAATCAACAGTATACGATTTGCAAACATCTACTCTGTGCACGTCGTATACAGAGTTTCCAAGAAGGAACATCTAAGTGAGACTCTTAGTTCTGTGAATTTCAGTGAAGGTGCCTATAATACCTAAGTCGCATTTAAGCAAAATTTGTTTATTAGTTTAATATCAGAAAATTTTAAAACAGAATGAATAAATTTGGAGCCCCCCAAAACTCTAGTGTTAAAAGTTAGCATTTTGTTGAATCTTAGCTATTATCATCATATTGGTGCCACAACAACATTGTAAATACAGAGCTAGCAATAATTCCAGAGAGTAAATGATTTTTTGGGGTACTTTTTATAGAAAGTTAGATCATAACATGCTACTTAGAAATAAACTGACTTTACATTTTTAAGTCAAGATTTCCTGATTAATTTTTTGCAAATGTCTCTTGCTATGACCAGCACTTTATAAGACATCAAATAAAACATACTAAGTAGAGATTTTCATAATTTGATGTAAAATCTGATTTTAATTATGGAGATCTCACTGTAGTTTAACATTTTTCTTCTTAATGATAATTTGGCAAGCTAGCACAAGTTCTTGAATGCAGAAGTACAAATTGCAAAGCGGTAATGCAAACAGCACCAGCATATTCGGCACATAAAAGGTTGCAGAGAGCAATTACAAATTCATTAATTTGTAATGAAGACCAAATTGCTTGTAAGTGATGGTGGATTACCATTTCAGACCACTTGCAAAAACAGTAAGTCTCTAACTCCAGCATTTGTTGAGAACTAAACAGTAGAATTAAAATCCCTAAATGAACTTTTCTCAGTAATAGCAGCCACAACAAAAAGCATTAAAGCTGCCGTTGCCCATTGTATTACTTCTGTTTTATCAGTTTAAAGAGTACCCAAGTTTACCCTATTCTCACTCCAAGAACTAATGTACAATGTTCATAAATTATTAAAAATAAATAGTTCCATGGTAATTATACGAAGACTAGCTTGGAAAAAGAAAATGGGGGGTATGTAGAATTGGTGACATATAGAATTGGGTGGTACAAGGCATCTTTCTCTTCATTATCCTAATCCTCAAAACAATCTTTGCAAGGGGTGCCCAACAGTAACATTATCTTCAGGAAAAAGGGGATACAGACACATGAAGCTTAAAATAACTTCCTAAAGCTCAAATTCTTCAAAATCAACAATTCTGATCTTTAGCCTGGTTTCCAGATTCCCACTCCAAGCTTCTTATTATTGGTCCACTGAGGCCCAGAGCTGAGTGACTTTTTTTTTTTTTTTTTGTCCCAGATTATTGCAACTATAAGAAAATACTTATCTAGCTTTAATCTCCCAAGACTAAATACCTTATCGTAGCCCATTCTGTTCTCAAAAGCAGATGTAGATGTAGATATGGATATGGATGTATATATAGATATAGATATAGATGGATCCTGGCTGAAAGCAGAGAATTCCAGAAAGATGTTTACCTGTGTTTTATTGACTATGCAAAGGCATTTGACTATGTGGCCATAACAAATTATGGATAACATTGTGAAGAATGGGAATTACAGAACACTTAATTGTGCTCAAGAGAAAACTGTACACAGACCACGAGGCAGTCTTCTGAACACAACAAGGGGATACTGCATGGTTTAAAGTCAGGAAAAGTGTGCATCAGGATTGTATCCTTTCACCATATCTATTCAATATGTATGCTAAGCAAATAACCCGAGAAGCTGGACTATACTAAGAAGAATGGGACATCAGGATTGGAGGAAGACTCATTAACACCTGCTATATGCACATGACACAACCCTGCTTGCTGAAAGTGAACAGGACTTGAAGCACTTACTGATGAAGATCAAAGACCACAGCCTTCAGTATGGATTACACCTCAACATAAAGAAAACGAAATCCTCTCAACTGGACCAATAAGCAACATAATGATGAATGGAGAAAACACTGAAGTTGTCAAGGATTTCATTTTATTTGGATCTGCAATCAAACCCCATAAAAGCAGCAGTCAAGAAATCAAACAACATATTGCATTTGGGCAAACCTGTTGCAAAAACCTCTTTAAAGTGTTAAAAAGCAAAGATGTCACTTTGAGGGCTAAGGTATGCCTGACCCAAGCCATGGTATTTTCAGTTGCCTCATATGCAT